AAATAATAAATAAATAGGAAAAAAAGAATGAATACCACCATGAATATGAAGCATACATTCTCTAGGCTGGGCACCTTGGCTGAGGCCTATAATACTAGCACTCTGGGAGACTGAGGTTGGTGGATTGCTTGAGCCCAGGAGTTGGAGACCCCCATCTCTACTTAAAACAGAAAAATTAGTCAGGGAATTGTGGCAGGTGCCTGTAATCCCAGCTACTCAGGAGGACTCAAGAAGATTGCCTGGCCTGGTGTGGTGGCTCACACCTGTAATCCTAACACTCTGGGAGGCCGAGGTGGGTGGATTGCTTAAGCTTTTGAGTTGGAGACCAGCCTAAGCAAAAGCGAGACTCCTGTCTCTACTAAAAATAGAAAAACTGAGGCAAGAGGATTGCTTGAGCCCAAGAGTTGGAGGTTGCCATGAGCTATGATGCCACAGCACTCTACCCAGGGTGACAGCTTGAGACTGTCTCCCCCCCCAAAAAGGAAAAGCAAAGCATATGCTATACTTTTTCCCACCTCCAGTGTTAACTTATGGCTAATGCTATGTTTTCTAGGACAAAACAATGGTATTACAGTTATACTAGCAAAATGTCTGTGGAATGGAAACCTATGATTTAATGATTCTTTTGGATATAGTTGTGGTTGAGAAATAATAGATTCACTACATTTGCCAAAGAGTCAACTTCCAGAATCCTGCTTTTAGGCAGGATGGAGAGAAATTCTTTGGAAGTTAGTCTCTACTTTGCCATTGATTCTTTTTCTTTGAGGGAGAGTCTCACTCCATTGCCCAGTTTGGAGTGCCATGGCATCAGCCCAGCTCGAAACATCAAACTCCTGGGTTCAAGTGATCCTCCTTCCTCAACATCCCCAGTGGTAGTAGTTGGGACTACAGACTCCGCCACAGCTAATTTTTCTATTTTTAGTACAGCTGGGGGTCTCTCACTCTTGCTCAGGCTGGTCTTGAACTCCTGAACTCAAGTGATCCTTCTGTCTTGGGCTCCCAGAGCTCTAGGATTACAGTATGAGCCACTATACCCAGCCTGATTCTGCTTTTTTGAGGGAAATATGTGACTAGAAAAGAATCGAGCGGCTCGGCGCCTGTGGCTCAAGCGGCTAAGGCGCCAGCCACATACACCTAAGGTGGCTGGTTCGAATCCCCAGCCCAGACCCGCCAAACAACAATGATGGCTGCAACCAAAAAATGGCCGGGCGTTGTGGCGGGCGCCTGTGGTCCCAGCTACTTGGGAGGCTGAGGCAGGAGACTCGCTTGAGCCCAGGAGTTGGAGGTTGCTATGAGCTGTGATGCCATGGCACTCTACCCAGGGGGATAGCTTGAGGCTCCGTCTCAAAAAAAAAAAAAAGAAAAGAATCGAGCTCCTGCCCCGCTGTGTACTGCACCACATAGACTTTCAACTATTATAACAGTAAAAATTTTAAATTAGAATTTGTTCAAATGGCTTTTCCCTCTAATAAATAAGAATTGGTATTAAATAAAATAGCAAAGACATAACAGAAGTTTATGTGTAGTGAACACAAATTCTGAGTTTTATTTAATTGCAACCTATGTAACACACTTTTTTCTCTTCCAAGTTCTTTAGCTGCTAAAATTACCCTTACAGAGATGACAAACATTGTAAAATGTGTTTAATTAGTAATTTATTAAATCTACCTGTCAAGTGATCCATTTTGTATGGAACCTTGAAATGATATTTTCAGAGTTTATTTCTAATCATTGAAAGCAGATGGTTCTATAAAACCTGCAAGTAATTACAGGCTCCTTAAACTCACAATATACATATATCTTAACACTTAAATAGAAGCTCATTTTCTTCAAAAAAATAATTATCTACTGCTTTCTCATAAAAATATAAAAAGACAACATTTATAGTTTTAAAAACTTATATTTAACCCAAATCAAGATTTTTCTACAAATGATACCTCTTTCCAAAAAGTTTAAGACATTATAGGATAACGTGATGTTAAACCAAACAATCTTACCACAATAAGAGTATGTAACTTTTAAGAAATATTGTGTAGGCTTGGTACCTGTAGCTCAAGCGGCTAAGGCACCAGCCACATACACCAGAGCTGGCAGGTTGAAGCCAGCTTGGGCCTGCCAAACAATGACAACTACAACAAAAAATAGCTGGACATTGTGGCGGGTGCCTGTAGTCCCAGCTACTTGGGAGGCTGAGGCAAGAGAACTGCTTAGGCCCAGGAGTTGGAGGTTGCTGTGAGCTGTGATGCCACAGCACTCTACCCAGGGCGACAGCTTGAGGTTCTGTCTCAAAAAAAAGAAAAAAAAAGAAATGTGCAGTATTTTACCTTCATATCAACTGTGTATGCTATGTAAACACATCAGATTAATCCCATTCATATTTATGCAGATTATCCAATATGACCAGTTACTATATAAACTATATCATAATTGTAAAAAGGGCAAAAGGTAATCGTTATGAAAGCTTAAAACAAGCTTTTAATAAAAGGTGACTAAACCTTGCCCTCATTTTCTGTAAAAATTACCTCTCTTCTTCCTCTCCCCCCCCACTTTGAATGGGTACCTTTTATAGCATGTTAATATACATGGCACTTTTACTTAGGTTAGCCTTTTACATGGCTGCTTTATTTTCTGATACACTGACTCTATCAGAAGGCACTGAGATTAGACTAAGTAGTTTCAGATTTTTTGTCCTTTTTCAGGTTCCTCTAGAATGATTTTCCTCAGAAAAGGATAACTCTAAGACCATAAGGAACCAGAAGAAAATGAATGATACATCACAGCAACTTGAAACTTGTAGCATTCAAAAGGTTCCTTGAACTTACCATTTAGGATAAAAAGTCAGAATAATTTTCTGAACATAAACATACAATTAGAGCACATTAACTAACAGTAAGAATACTCTCAAGCTTATAGTAAACAACATATTTAATCTTTCATAATAACATACAGCCAAAAGCATTAGAAATTCACTGCCATACATTCTGATGCACTATCCTGAAAACATATCTGATACATACTATTAGCTTACAACAAAGTATGGCATTTATTTCACAGGGAGAAAAGTTCCATCACAAAAACAGATTTACAGATTTCCAGCTTTGATTGAATTCTAAAGATATGTTTTAAAGATAAAAAAGAACAAAATTCACCCTTAAAATAAAAGTATATATAGTCCATTGTTATTAATACTCTTTATGCTATTACAATGAAAAACATTTAGAAACTCTTGAATTCTAGAAATTTTGACCAGTTAACCTATTTGGCCTTAACTATTCTAAATTCCCTTTTGAGAATCACATTAATGTTTTCAGTCCATCAGTCCAATACGGATGGAGCAATTCTATTTCTTTTTCTTCTTCTTTGGTGGTTCATCCTCAGAGCTGCTATCTGTGCTGGTGCTGCTGCTACTGGAAGAGCTGGAATCTGAGTCTGAATCAGAGGAGGAGGAATAGCTTGTGGAGGAGGCTGAAGATGATGAACTAGAGGAGCTTTCATCTGTGTCACTGTCTTCTGAGGAGGATGAGGTAGACGTTTCTTCACTGTCTGATGAAGAATCACTGGCTGAACTGTCACTGCTACTGCTACTGGAACTGGTTACACTTTTAGACCTATTAGACAATACGCAGTTATATACATGGGAAGCTGACATTTAATAGAATGCTCAAAGGCAACTGCATATGATACGGTACTATACACACACACACACACACTGCAATTGTGCCAGCATGCTATCCCTAGGTTTGAGGCACCCTCCCTTTACAAGTTTTTTTTTTTTTTTAAGAGACAGAGTCTCACTTTATTGCCCTCAGTAGAGTGCCAAGGCATCACAAATCACAGCAATTTTCAGCTCTTGGGCTTAGGCGATTCTCTTGCCTCAGCCTCCCAAGTAGCTGGGACTACAGGCGCCCGCCATAATGCCTGGTTATTTTTTTGCAGTTTAGCCAGGGCCAGGTTTGAACCCACCACCCTTGGTATATGGGGCCGGCACCCTACTTACTGAGCCACAGGCACTGCCCAAGTTATTCTTGTTATTTCAGCAATTTAACTGTCTTAGATGGACGTTAAGAATTCTACTATATTATACTTCAGAGTAAATAATGTTAGAATAAGTTGCAGTGCAATAATTGGGTCTATCTAAACTTCATACAGACTGGTACATGTTTCATAATCGTATTTAACTACTTCAGACCACATATGGGTGCCCAACAATTTCTTACCAGTCTAATAACATTTTCTATTTTAAGCCAATATAAGACAATTGTTAACTATTTATAAGTTTAAGGACTCTAAAAAGTTGAAAAAGAAAAAATGGAGATAATAAATTCCAAAGAGGTAAGAAGAGGACCTTATTAGTAAATAGGATGATATTTAATTTTGAATTGCAAACAAAAAACTTCAGATCTAAATCTTATAGCTATTATTATTATTATTTTTTTTTTGAGACAGAGCCTCAAGCTATTCCCCTGGGTAGAGTCTAGAGTGCCGTGGCATCACAGCTCACAGCAACCTCCAACTCCTGGGCTCAAGCGAGTCTCCTGCCTCAGCCTCCCAAGTAGCTGGGACTACAGGTGCCCGCCACAACGCCCGGCCATTTTTTTTGGTTGCAGCCATCATTGTTGTTCGTTGGGCCCAAGCTGGGGATTCGAACCCGCCACCTTAGGTGTATGTGGCTGGCGCCTTAGCCGATTGAGCCACAGGCGCCGAGCCATAGCTATTATTTTAAAATCACCCTTCTGATCCCTCCAACTACGATTACATATTATCTATATAATACTCCTAAAGCCACACATACCTTTTTTTCTTGGTCTTTCTTTCTACATTAGTTTCTCCAATGCTGATAAACATGAGGGGGGAAAAAAGTTCCTGTTAATAAAGTGATTATACACAGCTCAGACAAACCCTTCTGCTGCCCCCAAACTGTTTTACACTGGAGAAACACTTAGCCTTTTTATAACACATAGTCAGAGTACAGTATTTCTTGTTATAACTAAGTGGAAAGGCTCCTATTGTAGGCTGTATATGGAGTATGATATATGAAGTCAACTTAACCAGCACTTAAGCAAGACAGTTTTATCACCTGGCCCTTAAAAGCCAGGTAAATTGGTAAAGAAGATTAAAGAAACAAATTTGACTCTTTTTTTTTTGGCCGGGGCTGGGTTTGAACCAGCCACCTCTGGCATATGGGGCCTGCGCCCTACCCTTTTGAGCCACAGGCGCCACCCAAATTTGACATTTTTTTTAGTATGGAAATTAGGTTGACATAGCTATGTTAAGTGCTTACTGAACAAAAAAACAAAGCAAATGATAGCATACTAGCTGCTATTTTTAATTTGAGTTCCTAGAATGTTATTGCCATTCCATATTTTTTAAAAAAGTAATCTTTTCATTTAAGATAACACTTTTTTTTTGAGATAGCATCGTACTTTGTCACCCTCGGTAGAGTGCCATGGTGTCATTGCTCACAGCAACCTCAAACTCTTAGGCTCAAGCAATTCTCTTGCCTCAACCTCATAAGTAGCTGGGATTAAGAGTGCCTACCACAATACCCGTCTATTTTTAGAGGTGAGGTCTTGCTCTTGCCCAGGTTGGTCTTGAACCTGTGAACTCAAGCAATCTGCCCACCTTGGCCTCCCAGAGTAATAGAATTACAGGCATGAACAAAATAACAATTTTTCCTCATGTTCCTAAAAATAAATAAATAAAGACCAGCAATTTCA